CTTTTTGTCGCACATTATTTGTTTCAAATAGAATTCACTTGATTCCATCACCTAATCATCCCGTTCATGACCTGAACATATCAAGTTCATGAAAGCAGTACGTATCATGGAGTTTTGTTCAGTACCCCATACGTCATGGTATTGTCGAAGACTGGGATTTGATGGAGCGATTTTGGGAACAGTGTATTTTCAAATATTTGCGAGCAGAACCAGAAGACCATTTCTTTTTGCTGGTATGAATTTCTTGAATTTCAAAAGGTTGCTTGAGAAGATGTATTAGTATTTTCTCATTACCGATTTTACATGTTTCAGACAGAGCCTCCCTTGAATACCCCTGAGAATCGAGAGTATACAGCGGAGATTATGTTTGAATCTTTCAATGTTCCAGGTTACTTTTTTACATGTAATCGAATTTTTTTGTATCAAACTTCAAACGTGATCCAGTTACTTTTTTCGAGATTTTGTTAATGTTCCGCAACATTTCAGGCCTCTATATTGCTGTTCAAGCGGTTCTTGCGTTAGCTGCGAGTTGGTCCTCGCGTCCAGGGAATGAACGTCCACTAACTGGATTGGTTAGTGCAATGTGCATTTGTTGAAAGAAAAATTTTCTCATAGTAACACGCTGCCGAAGTGTCTCAATTATCGCTAAACAATTGCGAAAATTAGTAATAGTGCTTTCCTTCAATTATCAACTCAAGTGCGCGGAAAAGTAGGCTCTGAGCACTCCTGAGGATAAATCGGAGACTTTCGGAGCATCCAATTTATTTTTTACTGTAATCCTTTTACAGGTGTTCTTAAAAACAAACCAAAATGATTTCATTCCGTAGAACATGTCAAGAATCCATCATTACTAAGCTTTGTTTTCAATCTTAACACCTTGACGACAGCGCGGCAACTATGTATGCCGCCATTTTTGCACCTCATCGGACATTGTGGCAACTATGTATGCCACACCCATTACATTTATTTTTTGCGCACATGCCCGATTTCTTCCCAAGTTTTTTGTGTTCATTTTATAGGCCATACATCAACATAACCAAGAACCACGTGGCTTACAGAATGACCAAATATTCTTTAGTTTGGCAGAGGTTTTCCGGACCTTACGAAAATGTCTGTTCAGTTCATTCCTCGTTTTCTTTTCATTAACGCGAATATGTGGGTCGTCCGAATTAATTTTGGAACCATTAAAGCGAAATTTAGTAAAATTTGCCTTTTCATGGCCATAACACGTCATTTCGATCTAATTCTTACAACTGTACCTTCTGATAAGTTTATCAAAATAAATACTGGAAACATAACCCGAGGACAATACATGTGTCAACTTCACAAGCAGACTACTCTGTATCGAACTGACGCCTTCGTAACGCGCGAGCCATGTCGACTAACAACAGGAAAGTATAAGCAGTGCAGCACAGTTACAGTAAACGCATATGCTTCAACGATAAACAGGAAGGCAAGCATGCTTAGGTGATCGAAAACTGGTATCTCAAGTAACATGCCGTTAAACAACTAGTGGAAATGGAGGGTTGTGAAGATTAGCGCTGACAAATGGAGGGGTTAAAAGTTAGGTAATGTAGTACAAGTTACTAAGTATGCAGTAAGGGCTATTAAAGTTGTAGGTATAGTAAAGCTATGTAGAGAGCTCTCCAAAAAGGTGTGGGAAAATGGTTTCGTGCGTATGCCTGACAATCTTGTAATACCAGAAAGATCTTCCTTTTTGGCTTCACGTTGCGACCCTCTTCTTCCCCAGAGGCTGAAGATTCCACCGGCTAGGAGCTCTAGCTTACGCCTTGTGCTAGCGGCGAGGTCACTGGAGCGAACTGAGCCAGTGCTCTGCATTGGTGGAATCTTTACCCTTCGAAGAAGACCAGAAGGTCGATGCGAGAGATAAAGCAATAGGAATCTCATTTAGCAACTTCATTTATAAAATAGTTCGACACAAAAAATCAACGTTTCGACAAGAGATGGCATGGAAGTTGGTAAAGAAGTCCAAATGCTACACATCGGAAGGTCCGATAGGGTCGTAAAAATCGCAAGTAATAAATGTGATTGATAGGGCGGAGGGAGTGAAGAGATTTCATATTATATGCCTTCCTTCTTTTCCCACGTCCCTTCCTCTACAACCTCTTCACACCCTTATCAACAACTCAAATACAGAACGATCTCCTCCCGTTTCGAGCACTTCTCGACAAGAGTTATCCTGGGGCGGTATTCAATCCTTCCCCCAGGGGGATATATCCCCCTACTCTGATTCAATCCTCTGGGGGGACAAAAAAGGGTTGCGTCATAGGACCTCGCATACCTCTGTGTTTCTACCTGCCAGACAGTTAGAGCAGCGCGACCCCTCAGGGGAAAGGGTGCGTAGCGTTAGTCCTCCTGGGGTCAGGCTGCCGCCGCACGCGGCGATCGGGCTCGTCGCGTGTGCGGCGATTCTGCGATGTGGAGGTTTTTACTAGTCCATGCTGTTGTCCACCGTTGCAGCCTTCACATTTGATTGTCAAGTGACGAGGTGGCTTGTCCCAAGCACAGTAAGGCTCTTCCACTTTGATGTCTCCCATGGACATGAGCGCCAGAAATTAAGTTTGGAAATTAAGAAACGCTGCGGAGAACATTGGAACTTTCTGAAACAGTCTGAGTGAACGAGCCATAGTAAACTGCGTATTAACGTCATGTAGAATGGGCGTCATGTGAAAACATATCGCCATACTGCATGATCTACTCTCTTTCACGCCATTGGGGAGAAGGGGGTCAGTCAAATTAAACAGGTCACTCAAACAGCGCCTAAGTTGCTCATTCGGCAGTAACGAATCGATAAAATTAACGAACTTTCACTCCAACAGCCAAAAGAGTGGAAGAGGGCTAAAACCATATTGTTTCCACAGCTAATAAATCACACCGCCACATCCAACCACCACAGCCTTCGCCGCGTCGATCGCCGCGTGCGACGGCGCGGCGGCGGCCCCAGGAGGACAAACGCCCGTCTCCCAGGGAAAGAGTGCTTCATCAGTGGAGGGTAGTAGCGCTGCTCTAACTGTCTGGCAGGTAGAAACACAGAGGTATGCTAGGTCCTATGACGCAACCCTTTTTTGTCCCCCCAGAGGATTGAATCAGAGGAGGGGGATATATCCCCCTGGGGGAAGGATTGAATACCGCCCCTGCCCCGGTATTCAGAGCACCTGAATATGAATCATTCAGGGTGCTCT